TAAACTGCCGGGACTAATTTTTATTTGTTGCATCGTCGATAAAGTGTACGTGAGGCGAAAATTTTACCGGAATACGCGATCGTGAAAGCGTCTGCAGATTGCTAGTTTTTGTGGAATTTGCATAAGAGCTTTATCAATATGTATAGACTTGCTATTTTTTGTGGTATTAGCGCCACTAAATGTATTATAATACTATTGCACGTTGGCGGCAACTCGCTCTCGGCTTATGTCTATGGTAATTGACTATTGGTGTATGCAAATCGATCCTTTGAAATACATTCATTAATACGAGGCTGGCTATATAAGTGCGTGCCGTTTCCGCAAGAATATTTTACACATACACGTTGGCTCTTTCCCCAAGGAGTGATCCCCCCTTCTTCAAATTGATTAAAGAATTTCTAATTAAATGTACACGGAGAGAATTTTATGCTAAAAATTATTACAGAATTTTATGACCGAGAAGTAGATCGGCAGTAATTGACTATCCATTTATTTCATGCGAGCTGTTTCAGGAAGCGAAATGTGTTATTAAAAAATTGGGGTAAGAGGAGTTTATGTTTCTAACGAAATTTGCTATGTTCTTTAAGAAAATAGACCTCGCTGTCTATTCCTGTATTACACTGCGGGAGAAAATATCTAAAAAATATTTATTCGATGGGTGCTAGTGACATATTCATTTAAATCTAAATTCTTTTTTATTTAAACAGAATAAACAATAATTTTCATAAAAAGCTAAGATTTAAGAAAAATGTATATTTTCTTGTTTGCAAAATATTTTATATTAGTGTAAGTAACCATATTATTAGTATTCATAGAATAAATATTTTTTATTTCATAGATGTTTTTTTTCTTTCAATATACTAGAAACGTAGTAAGATTGAAAGAACTCATATGAAAAAGAACTATAATATTCTTTCCGTGTATACACTTGTACATAACTGCTAAATGTTTGGCGCGCGCTCAATTAAAAAATATCGTTCTCTCTATATTTTTGTCACGAAGAGACGGTTCTAAACTGGCGCGTGATAAGCTTGTGCAGAAGGCACAGGCGACTCAGTTGGCAGATCCGAGACACACCGTACATAATGTAACTTGCTAGAATTTTTACAGAGCTTTTAAGACAAAGTGTAAAACTTGAAGTTAGTTTATTTTATCACGAGACTGCGGCATTCCGAAAGATTTAGCGCGCGTACGCGTGTGCTCGGTTATTCACGGAAACATTTTATCGGGGCGTAGCTGCGCTTACGCTCTTATTTTCGATTTCCGCCTTTTTTTCGAGAAACCAGCGCGCGTATCGCGAAATTATATCGGATGCACGTAAGCTGTTTATTTCTACTCGCGGCCGCACGCCGTCGGAAATCGAAACAGTCAACCTATTTACTTACAATAGAGTCGTTTTCATGAGACGTGGAAACCAAACGGATTATATGTCCATACTGATTATAACTTCCGTAACGTTTCGTGTCGATCTCGCCCCGGCGACACAGCGCGGGACTACGAACGACGGAGATAAAAAATTGACGATATCCGCGAAATTACATTTTTATCGTAGATTTAAGATTTCTGAGATCTCTTGAATACAGCTGCTCTCTCTTGAATATCGTCGAAATCTCCTTAGCGGATGAGATTGGCTTTTCCAGAGTTTATCCAACGAGAGTTACCATTTAAATCTATTCCATACAAAGGAATGTTGTTTTCTACTGTGCGTTTTGTTTTGGTGCTTTTCTACGCACTTTTTTTCTCCTACCAACAATCCGCTGCACACAATTCGTTCAGCACGGAGAAAATTTTCTAACAAAAATTGCTATAGAATTTTATAACCAAAGAGTAGATCGGCATTTTCTATAGTTTAATAGAAAATTTTATAGTTTAATTCTTTAGTCCTTTGATTTCATACGTGCTATGTATATTTCAAAAACTGAAATAGAATATTAAAATAGTTTGCTATGCTTCTAGCAAAACTGCTATGTTGCTTAATAAAATAGACTTTACTGACAGTTTATTCGTGAACTACTAAAAACATCGTAAAATTGAAAAGAATTAATGTGAAAAAGAACTATAATATTCTCACAATTGTGCAATTATGGCCAATCGTCGACCGTTTAACATCAATTATCGCTAATCAGCTCGTGTCATACACATCACGCTACAAAACACTGGTATGATAAATTCAAGGACGTAATATATACGTGAATAAATTCAGGAAGGAAGTAATCATCGTTTGGCCTTAATATGTACTTATAAATATTTAATGAAAAGGCAAATGAGACGTACGATCTTAAGTCACGATAAATTGCTACGATAAATCCCACAAGGATTATAATTCGATTTACGATAATCATTTGAAAGAATAGTGCCGGTGCGATTCGGATTACGGTTAAATATTCAGATCGGCGAATAGGATAATGAATGTACTCAGCTGTGCAAATCGCCGGTTAACAATACCGGCTCCCATAAAATTAATGCCTCCGTGCCATTACTACGACTATTACAAACGTCGCGCGCGCGCGCGCGCGTAGGTAAGTGGTTGACGTAGAGCTTAATTTTGAAAATTTCAACGGAGCTGCTTGCGATCGTCCTTACTTTGCATTTCCGCCGATCTCGCCGTATAATTCTGCCGCCATCTCGACGGCTCCTCGAGACGGGAGCGCGCGGTAATTTTATCGTCGCGCTTCAGACGACGCGCCCAAAATTCGAACTACGCGGCATATCGCCAAATTTGACCCGCCAGGATTATTTACTCCCTATTTCGCAGAGTTTATTCTTATTCGTATTTGCCTAAAGCACAGCGGAAGTAAAAAGGGCTCAAGGGATCATAAGAGAAATGCGCGGAGAGAATTTTATAGTAAAAATTGCTACAACCGAGGAATATTCTGCAATAATTGTGATCTATCTTTTCATCTTGTACACTAAGAGAAAAAATATTTATATTCAGTTCTAATAATGTATTTATTTGAAATTATAAAGCCCTTTTATTTAAATAGAATAAACAATTTCTTTTGTGAAAAACTAAGGCTTTAAGAAAATGTGTGTATATTTCTTTATTTAAAAAATATTTCATATTAGTATAAATAATATATATTATTATAAGTAATATATATTATTAGTGCATGCTAAATAAATATTTGTTATTTCTTAGATATTTATTCTCTCAGCGTACGTGCTATTTATATTTTATAGACTAAAGTGTGCTATTAAAAGTTTGCTATATTTCCAGCGAAATCTATTATGTTCCTTAGCAAGATATACCTTACTGAGTCAGTCTATACTCTTGTGTACTACGAGGAATATAGTGAAATTGAAAAGAATGCATATGAAAAAAGAAACTATAATATTCTCTCTATGTATATAAAATTCGTCTGATGTCATCATTAAAAGATAAGGAATTAAAAAAATATAATGTTCCTTTTTAAAGAAGGTGAAAGTAAATTTGTGTTGGTTCGCGTGACAATATACCGGCTTTTAGAATACTTTTGCAGCCATATAAGTAGCGCTAATAAGTTTCTTACTATCTCTTTTATTATTTGCGACCCTTTTACTTTCCCGGCGCCACCGCGAGTGTCAGCATTGGCGATAGAAATAACCCGACACGTCAGCAATGAGAGTCTTTTCCGTTCCGGGACAAAACCGCAGTCGCATGAAAGCTTGATCGCGCCGAGAACGAAACGGTGCTGCCTTTCGCTGAACCCGAAACTCATTTGGGGCATGTGATACCGAAATGCGGTCACCACGCTGCCGGGATCGCGTCTCGGGTAACAACCGTGTGATGAGGTTACAAGCGGGATTAGCGTCGGATACGCGCCACGAATCCGCACTCGTAATGTTCCGATCGTCCCGAACGGATGCCCCGACGACAACCACGACCACGTGTTCACCGGCTTTGATTACTCCCACATAGACGAAAAACCCCGTGAAACCCCCATAGCCGGTGTGCAATTTGATTTCTTGCCGAGGGAACACTCGTGTCCGACGCGAACTCGCGCGATTCCGAATCCCCCCGCGTCGCAATCGCATCTCGATTCTCCTTTTCAGTCGCTCGTTATATCTCGCAGGGGAAGCGCCGTAATCACGAGTCTCAATCCGGCTCGTAACTTCCTACCCTCGTCAGACGTAATTTCGAGGCTCTTAACCGTTTCCGCGGACCGCAACTCCTTCCTCGAGTATCGAGAGTGCCTTCGAATCGTGTCGGTGACAGTGACATTAATCCGCGGGGCTGGGGTGAGAGGCTCGTAAAAATTCCTCCAATTTACGTTTGCGCTTCCCGCAGCGGAGGTAAGAGTTCCTACAAAATCGCGAAGCTGAATCGACGGATGGCTGGCGCTGTTCGGTCGATGAAATTTGCAATTGAGAGAGAGGATGAAGAAGAGTGAGAAAAAGAGATAGAGAGACTCACTTTCACCTCCGGATCAGCGTGCGCAAACGTTTTCCGACTGTGCAGATATTTTAATCCACGTAATCGTCACGATAACATTGCACACAGGTCGTTTATAGATATGATTGCTCGAGATTGATCGAGAGATAACGGATTTTACAATGCAAATATATTTGCTTTGCCGTTTTGCCCGGTGGTTTCGCGTTCGCGCGGACGATCCCACGAAAATTCCACAGCCGCCATCAGTTCGTCGATCATCGCGCAGCTAGCCTCGACAAACCACCTAGATAGCTCGCAGGTAAATCACGAGTCAACGGCAAGTAGAAAAACGGCGTCGAGATGGCTTTTCAAAGATCCGATCTACCGTGATCGTTTGTTTCGAGAATCCTTTTGCCGGTTCGTGGAGGCGGTGGCGGCGGCGGCGGCGCCCGGTGCTTCGCCGGCTCGTCGCGACAGCATCACTTCCCCTCCACCTCGCACGAGTGCATTCAACAGGTATCTACACAACCGATGAGTTTGTGCTGCCCTGTCCTCCCCCTTTCCCTTCTGCTCCTTCTTCAGGGTTTCCGTACTACCCGGGACTGTGATCCGCGCCTGCGGCCACCCGTTCGTTCGCTCGCTCGCTCGCCCGTCAAGGACGCCTGCGTCGGTAAAGTAGACTTAGTCGCAACCTGAAGCGGATGGTTGCTCCAGTGCGCCGTCGACCGTCGAAGGTTGCTGGTCGCCGCTGCCGCTCTTGTCCCGCTGTCGATCCGCCGGTGTGACACGGAAGAGTGCGATAGTGCTTCGCGAGAATCATCATCCTGCTGATCGGTCGACTGATCGGCGAGGTGTTATCTCTTGTGAGAGGGAGGAGAGGCTGGTCGCGATCCGTCGAGGAACTGGCGTGTTTTCGGAGCAGGTGCTCCCGTCGGTAGGGACTCTCGTCTGTGTCTCAGGTGTATCCCTGTACCACGACGTTGGGGAAATCTGTGTGTCGGTTGGCGAAAAATGCTCATCCGACTGGTTAGAGGGGACTCCGTCAATCGGTGATTCGCCTGCGATCTTCACCTCTCGCGCGGAGATATTGCGAGGTGGCTGGGGATGGGCGGGGAATTGGCGTCAGGAACGCGGATCTTGCCGGCAATCCGTGTACTTTCAGATGCGGTTGAGAAGTCAAATTGATCTCTTCTCGGCGCCGTAGGACTCTTCAGAGATCACACACGCAGTGCGCGCACGGCCGCGTTTGTGCTCGAGCGTTTACGGAGATTTGTCATCGGGATGACCAGAACGGTCTTCAACTTGGCGTCCGCCGACGCGGTAATGTCGTTTATGAGATATTTTATCGCTAATCGCATACTGGATCATTGGCCATCAATCAAGTATTAACACGACTCATCGCATATTCGTTGCAAAACTCGACGTACTCGTTAGACGCGGTGCTGCATTATTAACCACGCTGATCCCGCTGTTCCGCAAATTCGCGTGCGAGGATTACAGTTAGTCATTCGTTAGTTCAATATTGATTTAAATTTTTGCAGCCGAATAGTACCATTTTCCGAGCCCCTGCGTTTCCGACTAGTCACTTTGCTCGATTGTTTAATAATTCCGATTATACGCGCGTGAATTTCGCGAGGGTCGTTTTCGACGGTGAGCAATGAAGCTTGTTCAAGACTTCCGCGGGCATGCTCGTTAAACTCTGCTTGATTATCTCCAAATTTACGTAATATTTATCTAAATTTAACATCTTGTTGATTACGTGACAAGGCAGAAGTCTGCGGGATTACATTTCGCATCACGCGACAGGATGTACGTAACAGAGCACCCAAGTTTTGATTTAAAGGCAGCCATTCGCATAATGCGGTTACAAACTAGGATAATAATAGCGGGAGGAGAATATCTTTGCGTCCGTTGTGCGAAATCTGCGTTTGTTGTAAAATCCCTGTGTAAAGTTGTAAGGGGAAAATTTCACTTTAAAGGGGAATTTCTCTTTTGCGCACAACGGCATTTTTTAATTATCTCAAGCTTCGTTGCTGAATTATTTGACAACGTCGGTTTAAGGACACAGATAAAGTTCTTAAACTGGGAATTCATTAAAGCTATTTTACCACAAAGCTCCTGGAGTATTTTTCGAGTATATTCGCGGTTGTCTCTTAAATGAACATTTCCACGAGGACATTTTTATGTTATCTCAGGCTTTATTAACGAGCATTAATGAGTGTTGTAGGGAATATTTGAAAACAGATAAGAACTTGTTAAATATTTATCGGAGCGATTTTTCTCTTGAAACATTTTTTCGAACGTGTTCTCATGTCGGTTCGACGATTTAGCGTGAAATAGTAGTGTCTTTTCACGCGCGGAGGTACCTTCCATTACCGAGTTATCTAACAGCAGAGATTCAGGAACCACGAAACTCACAAACTCAATTTTCATCAAAACACTTTACTCAAAATCTCTCTCTCTCTCTCTCTCTCTCTCTCTCTCTCTCTCTCGGGATTTAAATTTTTGGGGCGCATTTTTTCGCGAGGATATGTATGTATGCCCGCGCGCCATTCGACGCGCACTTGTTCTCCGGATAAAAATTTATCCTTTTTTTCCCGTTCTCCCACGCAGTAGGCGTGTCTCATTATCTCAAGTTTCATGACCGAGTTATTTAACGACGAAGAGAGGCCCCCGAGCAGATAAGACTCTCTCGGATGAAATTTTCGCGCTAAGGCCGTTCGGCCCAGAATTTCTTCCTGTATTATTTTCCGGCGGGTATTTGCGTCCTTTTGACGCGACGCATTTGCCAGCGTACACAGCGGCGCGCTGCGACTGCCACTGAATTCAGCGGTATTAGCATAACCGTCCTCCATCACATTTGCTACGAGTAAATTTAACTCCGTCGCGCCGCGCGTTACGAGATATAGCGCGCCCGCTCGCCGATAAATGGGCTAAGCGAACGGGAGTGACAGCAAAATCTCGAGGCCGAGATCACGTCTCGGGGAATGTTTGCGCGACCTCATCAGAGACGTCGTCACGCGAGCGTCGCGATTTTACGAAAAATCACCCCGATACGTGGATAGATAAATAAATAAATAGCGCGCTGCGGCCGAGAATGAGACAGGTATAAATCAGCGAATCTGCTTTGATTCTCGCGTTTTCGCACAATCGCGGGACACGTTATTTCGCAATCGAGGCGTGCAGTACCATCGGCACAGCCGCCATGGGAATTATAGTGAGCCGAACCAATTTACAAAATTTTGTCGAGCCAGTTTCGATCCGTATATTGAATTAGACGCGTAACAGTAGCAAGAGGCCGTATTAAATATACAAATTAAATATCGAATTAATGGCTTCAAGGTGATTTCGAGGAATAGTCGTTAATTGTATTAAGCTCGCCGGTGTTAAATATCGAGTTAAAGTAGGGAGAGGAGCGGCGGGACGAAGGGATATTAGCTCTTTGCGAACAAGCGTCATAATACGTATCGCAATTTTGTTTAAAAACCGATAATCACAAATCTCTCTCTTCCCGCCTCCCCTTGTATCTCTTTTGCGCTCTTCCGCCCCTCCGCCGCTTTCTGCGTGGAACCTTTGAATGCAGGTGCGAGTGCAAAATGCGACATACGAGAGAGATAAATTTGAAATTCGACGTAAATGTTACGCGAGTTTGCTCATCGCGTTTGTCTAGAAGCATAAAACTTCAGCAAGCACTTCACGTGAGTACATAAATAACATTTCTGAAAGAAAGCCGCAAACGTAGCAGCAGTTTTTTTCAACAACCGCACACGCAAAATTACAACGGTGTAAGGTGCATTTAACAGCTTCACATATTACGACACGGAGGAACCTTTTTTACTCTTGTAGCCGCGAAATTTCAAATGTACCCGTGGAGGAGATTATATTGCGGAAACTGTGACATGTAGCGGGCATTTTAAGAAATTACAACACAATGAATTAGCAGCGCGATTATAAATCTCAGAGTTAACGTGAGAAGTTTTAATTGTTATTTTACAGCCTCTCTCCATCAGATGAGCGATTTCGTACAACTGGTTTTAGTTTTGGTGGGAAGCGCGGGTACATACGCGGCGACCCATAAAAGAACTAAAATATAATAAGTAAATCAAAATGAATGCCTGGATCGCTAAAAAGTTGCATGCAGACGACATTATATGTATTATATGTGAGACACGAAGAAACCATTTTATCTGATATTCGAAGGTCGAAATTTGCTACTGAAAATTAATTCTATTATCATGTTGCAATACATTCCCCCGCAAAAAATAATTTTAAAAGCTCGATACATCGGTTGAAATTCGGAGCTAAATTATGGAGCGCGTTTTGTACGCTCATCAATCGATACACTTGTTCTTTTGCCCACGAAATGCGCACATTCGATACAATTCGCGGAATAGTCTATATATTAAATATCCACGGCAAAATTTTAGCGTCACATTAAAATTAATTAATAAATCCGTGTTAAGACGGACAAATTGTATTAAAATCTGTCGGATCACGATTCGCCCGTAATCCAAGGCTTGGAGAGCAAGAGAGATTTCGGAAAAAAGAAATATTTACTCTTCCTTTATTTTTGTGGAAGAAAAAAATATTCGATGGCTACTAATAACATATTTTTACTCATACTATATACTAATAAACTAATATAAAATATTTTTCAAACAAAAAAATATACCTCAAATTTTCTTTAGGATTCTCATGAAAGCGATTATTTATTATATTTAAATGAAAGGATTTAGATTTAGATAAATATGTTATTAGTAGAGAGAATATCTTCGAGTAAATATTTCCCATTTCTTAGATACGTTTTCTCTCAGTATAAGATTCTATGTTATTCCCAAATCGTCGCCTGCTGTCGATATGGAAAGGAGTCACGTACGCGACTGCACGTCGGGAATAATTAGGCGTGGTGAAATCGATCATCGTGTCAGGTCATCCCAACTTTTTCCGATGAGCCACGAATGTCACTGAATTTCGAATTGGTCTGTCACTTGGTTTAATCGCGTCGGAAAAAAGCGAAGGAAAAAGTCTCGTCTCGCGACGGCGGTGGAATTCCCTCATTCGTAAGCGCACTTTTACGGCAGAAGGCCAACCGGTTTCAACCGGCGGGAACGCCGTGAAAGGATTTTTGTGCTGGTCCCGAAGCAGCCAAACGATACGACAAGGTGGGAGCGCGACATGATGTTCGGGGAAGGTCGAACTTTCGATTCGTATCGTCGCGCTATATCCGCTTGGTTGCGCGAATAAATTGTCTTCCTGCTTTTCCATGGCCGGTGACATTGCGTAATTATGCAGTCTTTGAAACCTCGAGGTCATACCTCAGATATTTGCGGTCAAGGCTACGACAATGGCAACTCGTCGTCTCGGAGCGCGAGCACGGTGGTTTCGTTTTCTTATTCTTCATCGCGCGTTGCTTCGACGCGTTCGTCTATTTCGATTGCGAAAGCAAAATTGGAGCTGTGCCACGTCACGAATAATACACACGCGCGCGCAGTGGTCTGTTCGTTTTCGAACAAAACTGCTGCACTAGTGCAATAAATGAATAAAGAATTTTGTTGTCCAAACAAAAATTTGCTACACTGGTCCGAAGTTTGATTAAAACGGGATCAATCAAGTATCTGGTAAATTGCAGCTAAAACACTTAATTGCTGCTTTCTCACTAACACTTCCTACTTGACACAAGTAAAAAACATGATAATGCCAACTAAATCGTATATATCAAATATTTTAGTTCCGATTAGGAAATTAATTTTTTCAATGTAGAGTAAAACAAATATATTCTCTTTTGCTTCAATTTGTAACACTGGTTACAGTTTACAAGTTCCTCAAAAACGAACAGACCTCAGAGCCGTATTTCTGATGCTTCGAACACTAAGCACACTCTTTTTACTTCAAATCGCGTTTTTCTTATACAAGCGTCCCGCGTAAGGTTGTTTATCTTGAGAATCAGAAAGGCGTAGACACGCATCAAATATACGCGTTGAGGATACGGAGATGTTATTATGTCGATCGCATGGAAAATTTCATGCGAAATTGTCGGCATTCATGCGGGGCTATCGCGCAGGAGAGTGATTCGCATCACCAGGCAGAGACTGAGCTCTGCTTTACAAGGGAATAATCGTCTCATTAGTATTGTAATTGTAATCGTAATGAAAATTATATGTGCATTAAATGTACGCACAGTCAGCTTGTAATTAGTGCACTTTACTAGTTATAATTGTGAGTGATTCGGTGCGTTCTATGGCGCGATTGTTATTTGTTGGCAGCGGAAATGATGGCTTCGCCATTTGTCGACAGCACGAACAATCGTATCAGACTGTGTC